CCGAAAATAAATTGGCCCAAATCGATGCTTAATGGACTTATCATCCGTGGAGAATAGTATCAATAGACTTCATTATCGGTGGATATAGGCTCGGCCGGATTTCGTGATCTGCAACCTCCAGAATCGAAAGAAAATGGCATTTCGGAAAAATTGCCCGAAATCTGTGATGGTACCCCTTTGGAATTATGCCAAAAATGGGCCCGGAATAAATTCGCTCAAATCGGCACTTAATTGTACTTAATCATCGTTGAAGAATAGCCTCAGGCCGAATCCGTGATATGTAGCCTTCAAAATAAAACGAAAAATGGCCTTTCGTTGCAAAAAAAAATTACGAAAATGCCATCCGAAAATAAAGTTGGCTTAAAGTCGGTGCTTTATGGACTTATCATCCGTGGAGAATAGTATCAATAGACTTCATTAACGTTGGATATAGGCTCGGCCTGATTCCGTGATCTGCAAGCCTCCAGAATCGAAAGAAAATGGCATTTCGGAAATAATTGCCCGAAATCTGTGATAGGTACCCCTTGGAATCTGCTAAAAAATGGGACCCGGAATAAATTCGTCCGAATCGGAACTTAAATGGATTAATCATCGTTGAAGAATAGCCTCAGGCCGAATCCGTGATCTGTAGCCATCAAAATCCAAAGAAAATTGTCTTTCGATCGTAAAAAAAATTACGAAAATGCCATCCGAAAATAAATTGGCCCAAATCGTGCTTAATGGAGCTTATCATCCGTGGAGGAATAGTATCAATAGACTTCATTATCGGTGGATATAGGCTCCGGCCGGATTTCGTGATCTGCAGCCTCCAGAATCGAAAGAAAATGGCATTTCGGAAAATTGCCAGAAATCTGTGATGGTATCCCTTTGGGAATCTGCCAAAAATGGGCCCGGAATAAATTCGCCCAAATCGGCACTTAATGGACTTAATCATCGTGAAGAATATCCTCAGGCCAATCCGTGATTTGTAGGCCTTCAAAATCCAAAGAAAATTGTCTTTTCGATCGAAAAAAAATTTACGAAAATGTCATCCGAAAATAAATTGGCCCAAATCGGTGCTTAATGGACTTATCATCCGTGGAGAATAGTATCAATAGACTTCATTAATCGGTGGATATAGGCTCGGCCTGATTTCGTGATCTCAGCCTCCAGAATCGAAAGAAATGGCATTTCGGAAAAATTGCCCGAAATCTGTGATGGTAACCCACTTTGGCAATCTGCCAAAAATGGGGCCCGGAATAAATTCGTTCAAATCGGCACTTAATTGACTTAATCATCGTTGAAGAATAGCCTCAGGCCGAATCCGTGATCTGTAGCCTTCAAAATCCAACGAAAATGGCCTTTCGTCGGAAAAAAAAATACGAAATTTCATCCGAAAATAAATTGGCCCAAATCGGTGCTTAATGGACTGATCATCCGTGGAGAATAGTATCAATAGACTTCATTATCGGTGGATATAGGCTCGTCCGGATTTCGTGATCTGCAAGCCTCCAGAATCGAAAGAAATGGCATTTCGGAAAAATTGCCAGAAATCTGTGATGTGTACCCCTTTGGAATCTGCCAAAAATGGGCCCGAAATAAATTCGCCCATATCGGCACTTAATGTACTTAATCATCGTTGAAGAATAGCCTCACGCCGAATCCATGATCTGTAGCCGTCAAAATCCAAAGAAAATTGTCTTTCGATCTAAAAAAATTACGAAAATGCCATCCGAAAATAAATTGGCCCAAATCGATGCTTAATGGACTTATCATCCATGGAGAATAGTATTGACTCACTTCTACTGTCACCCTAGAAAATGGCCAAGTGTAACCACTTCCTAAAGCGTAGTATAGCGGGTTTGGGTTTCAATGTCAACCCGGGTCCTAGATTTGCTGACTACTCAATGAGTTCTTGTTATCTAGCAATAAAAACTGGAGTGCAAGTCTAAACTACCAAGCAAGCAAAGCAACTAAACGTTGTATTCAGGTTAAGAGAGGTCACCCGGATATGGTTCCCCCTAGTCTGCAGTTAAGCCGGATTGTAATTACCAAGTTCAGTTTCTATGAAGATTATACTGCGGAAGGTTCTTAAACAGCCTGAAGTCTCGACTAAAGGTCTTCAGACCCTCTCAATCTGACTCTCTAGCGGGCAACTAACCTCCACCGGAGTCGACAGATTGAG